GAAAACACGTCTTAGAGTTCAATAATGATGAATTATCCTGGAACGAACTGGAAGAGCATTTTCATTGCCGCCCTTAAGACTGCTAGGCCTACACAAAAGTTCAGCTGCAAACGCCGTAGGCAACATCACAAGCAGAACTAAAGGATCCTGTAAGGCAAAGGAACAACACTCGTTTTGACTTTTCCGCAGCAACGTAATGCTGCAGGAAACAACAAATTCGCCCATTAATTACGACCATGACCGTTCTGAAGACTACCATACTCGTGCCAAACAGCTTCCTTTAACATGGAAAAAACTTGGCAGGCACTTCAAAAGAAACACAGGCAACGACATCGCATAAACTGAAGCCCACATGGACAGAACTTCGAAACGCGTCCAGTGGGACAGCAGATCCTGCCCTGGTCAGGAGTGCCGCAACTATAATCCAACAAGGTGTTGGATAAAATTATAAACAAGGAGGCCTCCTTTGAACAGACGAAAACCAGTTCGCCTAGTCAATAACGCTTGTACTTCTGACAAATGAAACGTGGCGTAAGACTATAGTCCATCAACATGCATTCCTGCAAGTACTATATCCAGATAAACCCTAGCAAAACTGTGCAAATAAAAAGCTAGCTCTCAGTCTTCAGTTTTTATCGCCTTTGAATCGTATGCCTGGAATAGTGTTTCGCGTAATGAAACAGACAACAAGTAGATGTTGAGGCTGTTTGGCTGCGGCGTTTCTGATGTTTGCGCTGCTCGAACAGCACCATTAGTTGCGCTGATACTACTGTGTCTGCTTCAACTCAGTACAAGCAGTGCGAGAGAGAAAATTATGGCAGCAATGCTGGGCACCGCAGTGGTTGCAGAACCAGCTTGTCTGTTCAAGAGGGCGGTGTAAAGTTCAGTCCTGCAAACATAAAAAAGCTTCCACCAGAAGTGTACCGTGTGCTGTGCCTCGCTTCCATTTCTCACGAGCTTTTGTCCTTCAGCTCTCTCGGAAAATAGCGTAGTGCGTGCACGCAAGCAGCAGTAAGTGCGGCCTGTTCCCGCCATGTGTCGCAAAACGCTTACGTGAAAGGCTTATCGTCCGCAGTAAGTGACGGTGTAAACTGACAAAACAATACATTGGAGCCCGCTTTGCAGTTGGTGGTAACGGCACAGGAGGCTTTCCTGCTATCTTTCCACATCACGTATGCAACATTGCTGGCCGCAACAGAATTGAATGGAGGCTTTGTAACATCGAAAGTGCCAGTAGCCGGATCAAAACTGTCCCTGCGCATAGAGAAATCATTCGACGAAGGACGATTGAAAGCAAGCAGCCAGCAGGAAAACACAAGCTATGGAGCCTCTGAAATACACAGCACCTGGCGTCTTTGTCATGTATCTGCGATGCTAAGGAATAAGCAAAGCGGAATAGCCCCAACAATAGCTGTGCAAACTCCAGACAAACACACAGAAATGGTGTCAGGGGTACTTAAATTCACGGACACGTGGGACGAGACACATGAAAAAGTGCAAGAATTGGTGAGACGGACTTCTGCGTGAAACTCAGTCCGGCAGCAAAGTGACCCTGGATCAAAGACCCGCAGTCGAATGCTGTGGAATGCTCAAATGGAATAACTAATCCGTGATACTGCAGCAACACCAACACAATAGCATCGAGCAATAGAATATGCTGACAAGAGGTCAGATCAACCCTACACTTTCAACAGATCTCGTGCAAAATAGGAAACGATTCCAAAGCAGCGCAACCAAAAGGCTATTGTGCTCTTCTTGTCTGCTTCAGTTGGCTGTCTCGCAAGTCACACTTTGTTTCCATTCGCCGTTGATCCCGATGCACAGGTGGCTGCGTCTGTCCCCGCAAGTGCTTTTGCTATTTCGATGGCAGTTGCTGGCGTTTCACTTCCTGCTTCGCCGTCAGCAGAGCTGTCAGAAACTGCACTTGGGCTTGATGCTCCTACATCTGCTGGTTCAAGGGCTTCTACCATCTCACCATTAAGGTTCAGCATACGTAAAATGTTTATGGTGGGCAAGCAAACTGAGTAAAAACACATGGCAGGCTTGTCACAATGGCAAAGAAATTCTACAGTAATTCGCGGACTTAATTAGCTCTAATTGTATCCATGTGCCCAGCCATTTGTTCTAGGAGAAATACGCAGACCCGTGGAGAAGTCACATTTACAAAAGCTGACCAAGTCCTCGGAGGTAGCACACTAAAACTAAACGGAGGGAGGATATACGACATAACTACCCAAGGATGTTTGCACGACAAACTTCGTGGGACTAGCTCAGAACCACGCCATTGCAGCCCCCTCTCTCAAATTCACCTATAGTTGCATCTTTAGCTTCAATCGCTTCTGCTCCTCGAGAAAAAGCAACAGTCGCTCCCAGGCTATTTTGGTTAGGGCTGCTACTTGGAGGGCGACGCTGCTCTGCAGCTGAAAATTGCGGTGCAGTTGCCGCCGCAAACAGAGCAGCGCATAAGGCAAAGCTGATGAAATGGGACATGTTGAGAAATACTTCAAATTAAAAGGCAAATTAAATAGGAAAGCTAACCGACTTCATAGAATGCGAACGATGGAAAACACAAGGTGAGAACGTTGGTGGGAATGGTTATTTACTGACTGATTCGGCAGTCCAAGTCCACCGGTGCAAAAGTCCTTGCTTTTCCAACAAAGCGGAACAAATATCACAGTTCCAATTTTTTAGCAATTAGGCATGCTCGACTACCCTATATTTAGCCTATCTCTGGGGCTAAATTTTGTCTCTACAGAAAGGTGCGCCACTGGCCCCCGGGTCGTGGAATCGCCACAGGTGCAGCAGCAAGATCGAGTGAACGCAGGCCTGCTGTGAAATTGGTGAAATTTTAGAGTAAACAAAAAGGTAATAAGCGCCTAGGAGAGGCCTTGTTGAAAAGTTGGAGTTAGGTGTAAGTTGAGTTAACCGCATCAGGCCACGTCCGATTCATGGCAGGGCTAAGGGAAGTAGAGATGCAGAGGTGAGCAGCTTTATCACCCAATACACCCAATACGCGGACATAGGCTTTGTAATTCTGCAAAAATTGTTGCTTGTTGACCTTTGTCAATCAGATAATGCCCATAAAATGGATCTGCTCAGTAAAGACACAATGTGACCGTTTGCAGGGGTGACGGACCATTATTGCTTTCCGCTTCAATCGCCTCCCACGACTCGAATCACAAGTAAACACCTTCCACGGCTTAACATACTTGCATTTATCAAAATTATTACATTTTCCACGGTCAACATTGGGCGAGGCTGCGCACATTTTACTGCCTCCTTAAGAGTTATCTCATAGCCTTGGCGGTCGATAAAGCACACAGATGTTTCATCTCCACTGTCCTTGAGCTAGGCTCACAAGCCGATCATTAGAAGGTATTCTTTGGCATATTTTCTATGCTACGTGTTCGATAAAACCATTACATGACGCCATTTCCCTCGAAATTGAAGCGAGATCCTGTGTACAGCGGAGCTGATGCTGAAAACTGGCAGCGACCCCTGAGCTTGACCCTAATCGAAAACCCCAGCAGACTCCTTAGTTCGACTTAGATATTGATCTGCTGCAGCTTTGCCTAGATGCAGAATATAGGAGAGGCTCTATGGACCAGTCTTCCTCTTTCTTCGAGCTCCCGGGGGGAGGGCCCCTCACGAGTGTGTTTACAAAGTTTTGTAAGAAACTGCCGAATCTTTTTTTGGACAAGAACTTCAGCAGGATCAAGGTGGGCAATTGAATTGTCATGAGGTGATGAGCCTTTGCTTAGATTTTAAACTCGCGCTGTGCTCAGAGAAATTACGTCACACAAGAAAAGGAGAAAAGCCGCACGGGCAAAGCAGAAGAGACCGCCATGCTGTAGGATTGCTTACACTATATTTTCTGAAAGCTTTAGTTGTTCTACCCTACGAGGGGAAGAACAGTGATCTTGAGGAGTAAAAGAATTGCAACAAGACTGTTGACTGCATCAGTTGCTTATTTCCAGGTAGCCAATTCATGCAGGCAAAACTGATCTAGTTTAGCCCACGGTCAGCTGCTTTATCTGAAATATTAAATGAGCAGCCTCTTTTTAATGGCACGAGGAATGTAAGCATTGCCCACCTTGCAGAGAGCACTTTAGCTAGGTGTTTGGAGTTTGGTGGAAAGTGCCATATGCACGGCGGTTTCCAAAGTTGTCACGCATTTCGTGGCGTATTTGGTGGCAGTGCTTGGATCTGCCACATATGATAGAGCGACGGTCAGCATTTGAAGATGAAGGATGCAGTGGACGGCAAAGAATCTACAAATGGCTACATTCGGCAGTTGCTACGCAGCAAGGACATAGCATGGGCGATGACAAGTGCATGCAAGTTGCTTTAAAAAGTTTCACCGCCCCTTAGCTCTGCCCAGTTACAGTCAACAGTATTCGAACAAGCTGAAGCTTTTTGGCGCCAGATAAGAATACTGAAGCTCACATAGTCCAAATGGCGGCGGCGATGCCAGCATAGAAAAAGGCTCGCCACTACACCAATGTGATACGTTTCCAAGCAAAAGCTGCAGTATACGCAAAACAGCTAGGTTTAGGGTGTCACTATTCTAATTATTCGCCATAGAAGGGGTCCAGCTTCACAAGTGTGCTGCAGGCTTAATTCACTGCTCATAGCCTCATTTGGGCGTTTCCTATAAGCCTGCATGGAAAATCGTTGCTGCGTTTTGAGGGAACGAATGCAAAAGGAAAAATTGATGCACACGCTTTCGAAGCAAAAGGCGGCACAAAAGGTCCAGTAAGCGACAGTTGGAGGCTTGGCATGACGCCGATTCTCCTTAGTTGATGCATGCACACAGGCAGAATTTGAAAGAGAAGCAGAACTAGGAAAATGGCAAATTTCGCTGCGAGTCTAGACCCAAAGGCCTTATTCGTTAAGCTTCTGAACCGCCACGCCAGCGAAGGCGTCGTCAGTGAAGGGATCCCAACCTGTAGCATCTCATGCGCTGGGTCGTTCCTGCTGTTGCCATATGCTTAACAAACTTAACTCAACAAGAGCAAGGCGGCGCAGAAAAATGTTGTGGCAATGCTGGTAAGTGCAATGGACGCCGAACCCGCCTGCCGCTGCAAGAGCGCCTCATATAGTTCAGTCCTGCAGTCAACAGCATGCATTCCCATGTGGAGCCTCTGTGCCTTCCTGCATTCTGTTCTTGCATACTTGTCTGGCTCTTTGGTCAAAGCAAATGCCTGAAATCTGCAAAAGTGTGGCAACGCATAGTGGTGTGAGGAGGCGAACTCACGTGAACGGCTTGTCTTCCGGTTTGATTGCATCTACAAAGCGGCAATACAGAACGTTGTGACCGGCTCGACAATTGTTCGTGACGGCACAAGACGCCTTCTTGCTTTTGCTCCACATTATGTTAGCAACATTACTGGCCGATAAATTATCAAATGGGGCTTTTCCAGTGTCATATGTCCCTGTAGCCGGGTCGAAATTTGATCTGTGTAAGCGACGCAGATGGCAAATAACATTTGGAAAAGAAAGGCCGATAAGTGACAAGAAGACTTTTCCGTAATTTTGGTGTTGTGCCCGCGATATTTGAAGACAAAAAAAAGTTATGTTGCAAAAAATACACTTTACTTCTCCAGCCGGCTGCGTGATGGACACAAGCTTGCAACCTGACTTGGAACGAGCAAACTACAGAACAAAAAGGGAAAGAGACAGACTCTTGTATATGGGTCAGTCCTGTGGTAAAGTGGTCCTGGATCAACGATCCACAGTCAAAGGTTGTGGAGTATTCGAAAGGAATCACAAGCCCAGTATGCTGCAGTAAAACAACAGCGCATGGTTAAACACCACTCATGCATACAGACAAATAGGACTATGCTCCTGGGTTTTTCAGAAGTCCCGGATATATCTAGTCTACTGAAACTGATATAGAAAGTCACACCGTTTTTGCATTCGCCGTCGCTCCTGCCTCACACTTATCCGCATCGGTCCCTGCCAACCCTTTTGCGATCTCAGCTACTGTATTGGATTTTGTAAGCTCTTCTTGATCGTCTTCTTCTTCTCCTTCCTGTACAGTTGTTCCTCCTGTCTCTGGTTGGAGAGCCTCTAGCGCCTGGTCACGAAGGTTAAGCACCCTCAGCATGTTCATGGTGGGCAGACAAGCTGAAGCGGTCCAGAAATAACACACAAAATCAAGCCAGTTGTGAACAGATTGGTGAATCACACCTTCACAGGTTGCTTAGGAGGTGATCAGCAGGCGTGCGCCAGCCCAAATAAAGTTTTACACCAACGGGAAAAGCTGCGGAGAAGGCGTCGTAAGGTCCAAATATACAGGCAAATATACATGCTCCATGATAAGATCAACACACTGAAAATTACACAAATAAAAACACAACTGACGGATGTTTAGTATCGTTCTCCCATTCTCCCGTGTAGGTCACCTGTAGTTGCGTCCGTAGTCTCTATAGGCGTTGCTGCTGCTTGAAGGAAAGCGGCTTCTGTTTCCACGATGCCATAATGAGGATTAGTGTTAGCAGAGCGAGTGATGACTGCAGCCGAGAAGTGGGCTGTGGCTGCTCCGGCGAGCAGGCTAATGTAGCAGGTCAACAGACCGGGCCGACGCATGGTGGGTAGAAAATGAAGCAAATGAGGAAAAACTGCGAGAAACGTCAGCAAGATGAGTAAGCGAAATGCGGCAAGGGGACGAGTTGCCAATTAGGAGCCAGTGGGATGGGTCGTGTGTGACACGGCGGGGACAGCAGTCCGCCTTCTTCTTATCCAAATGCCGGTCCCGCTCCTTGAAGCATAGGCACTGTGGCTGCCCTTCCGCCATCAATAAGACTACTTATATCTGCTCTCAGACTTAGCTGCGAAATTCTAACCCCACTTTGATATCCGTTAACCGCCTTTTCGATTGCGAGGAAACGAGTCGGCATGCCTCTAGTCACACGTAGGAACAGCGACCTAGTTAGCTGACCTAGTTAGCTCTCTAATTGAAATGCAATCGCTGAGTAAACTGTACCAGACCATGTCCGATAGAGAACGCAGAGTAAGGGAAGAGGAGGTGAGCCAGATTCTCAGCCAATGTGGAGAGATAGGCTTTGTAATTATACAAAATTTGTAGTTTGAGGCCGCACAGGCAGAGGTGAGCCACATTTCTGGCCAATATGCAGCAGTAGGTTTTGTAGTTGTGAAAAATTTGTAGTGTGAGGGCTTTTTTCAACCAGATAATCCTCGTATAATGGATCTGCACGGTAAAGACACAATGTGGTCGTTTCGCACACATGGACCATTACTGGTTTCGGCTTCAGTTGCAGCCTGCAACTCACATCACAACTAAACGCCCTGTGTGGCCAAAAGCTTGAAGTTCTTCAAACTTATTATTATTTCATGGTCAATTGCAAGCGAGGCTGAAGACATTTTCCCTCCTCCTTACGAGTTGCCGTGGAGCATCGGCGGTCCATACAGCTAAACAGTTCAGTTAACGATGCTTCGTGTGCACCGTCCTTCGCAAAGGTACGCTGGCAAGCCCATCTATGCAAGATACAAATTCCGTAGAATTACAAAACCTATCGGCGCATATTGGGCCGGAATCTGGCTCATATCTGCTCCGCTTACCCTGCTCCCTCAATCAAACGTGACATTGCGCATAAACTTCTTCCGTTTTGCTAGATCTTCGGCAAAACTCTAACACGGCGCCAGTCTGAATCGAAAACCAAAATAGATTTGAAGGTTAAACAGGGAAATTGAACTGCTGCTGCTTTGACTAGGTGCGGATTACAGGGTCTTTGGAGCAGTCTTTCTTCCAGGGCCTATATGGGGCTCTTTCCGAGTGCTTTTATTGAGAAATTTTACAAGAAACCGCAAGGCTATTTTTGCAGTCGGATCGCAGTGGGAGATTAAAGTGCCATGCAGTGACGAGCCTTTGCCTAGATTTTAAGCTCACTCTGTGAGCACAGAAACTACTGTATTTCCTGACTGCATTTCATTGCGTATTTCAGGTTGCCAAGTTACGTAGGAAAGCTCAGCTGCTTTAGCCCATGATCAGCGGCTCTATCTGAATGCATTGCCGGCCATTTAACTTGACGGCACGCGGGATGCAAGCAATGCTCACCTTGCAGAGAGCATTTTAGCTAGATACTTCGAGTTTAATGGAAATTGCCATCTGCGCAGCGGTTTCCACAGATCTCGGGCCTTTAAAAACTGTTTGGGAATAGTGCTTGGGCCTGTCATAGGAGATAGAGCGACGGCGAGCATTTGAAGGTGAAAGATACAGTGGAATCATTCAACCACAACTTCTGCGTTGCCTCTGCCCCTCCTGTGCCCTTTCAGTCCGATTTTCCCCAGAAGAAAGCGCACTACATTTGCATGCAACTGTGTATACTATTTTGTCGCGTAGACTATCACGTGAATGCGCAGTGATATGCGAAAGGATTGCGGCGTCCACAGTCGTGCCCCAATTCGTCTTCGGGCTGGTCAATGAAGAGCCGAACGACGGTCAGTGCTGGCCTTCATGCAAGCGTAACGGAAAGAGCCTTGAAGGCCGTGATAGAGCCACAGGCTAGTCAAAAGCACATTCAAATACACCTTGATTACGTAGGTAGTGAGAAGATGTGAGCACGCTTGGGCGTGCAGGTGAGCGCAGAAAGAAAGCTGTAGAAATTTAGGGCTCCATAGGCTTTAAAGCTACGGGATCTGTTGTTGAGGATCGCCCTCCAGTAAACATGCGCAGGAAGGTTGGTTTCCCTTTAAAGGGGATGAAGGGAAAGGCTGAAATCTTGTTGCACAGTGTCCTTTCATCTTGCTTTTAGCGCAACTGCGGATCTAGGTTTCCGTGGCCATTACTCGCCACAACATCCGGCAAGTGTTTCAAAAGTAGTGCGAGAGCTACGAGCAAGGACCCATCTAGCTGCAACTCATCAACTTTCAAATTGCCTTGAGGCTGGTGTTCCGTGACTGTCAGCAGTATCGTAATGAATATTGCGGAATGCAAGGCATGGGGTGTCCCAAACAAGTAGCCTGCAAGGACTGATATCAAGGGGACTGCAACGCATAACTTACAGGGAGGAGCAGCGCAACAGATGAATACAGTCTGCAACTGTTGCGCAGCAAGGACACAGCATGGACCATGACAAGTGCATGCACGTTCTTTGAAAGCACTTCACTGCCTCTTAGCTTTGCTTTGTTACCGTCAACGGTATTTCAACAAGTAGAAGCTTCTGCTGCCTCAGATAAGGACACGCTTGTCCAGATGGTACAACTGGCATCGGCGAAACCAGCATAGAAAAAGGCTCGCCACGGCTACACCAATGTGAGACGAGTTCAAGCAGAATTTGCACCAGACGAATATTAGTTGGCTTAGAGCGTTGGTGAGTCAATACTTGTGAGTCGCATGTATTCGTAAAACTTTAGGCCTCAGAGGAACTGCAGAGGGCGAGCGCAGTATCATTTGGGATTCACCCACCTTTGAAGCGATTAGTTTGGGATTTAAGCTGTCTTGATTAGTTTAATTGTCGGGAAAGGGATTATCAGCGTCTTTGAGGCCCTGATGAACCCTTTTCCGGTCTACAAGCCGTGGGCCACTGCCCACGTCTTGCAGACCTATATATATAAATATGTTTCTGTGTGGATTCGCAAAACAGCTAGGTTTGCGGTGCCAGAGTTGTGAATATCCATAGGAGCGGTCCAAGTTGACGTGCGTGAGGAGTGGCCCAAGTTCACGTGCGTGCTGCAGGCCTAATTCACTGTTCATCGCTCCAATTGGCCGTTTCCTACAAGCCTGCGTGGAATATCTTTGTTGCGCTTTGAGGAAAACGATTGCCGAAAGAAAAATTGATGTACGCGTATTACGCGTATTCGAAGCACAAAGTACCACAACAGGGTTCAAAATGAAAGTTGGAGGATTGGCATGACGCTAATTTCCCTCAGATAGTACATGGGGAGGGGCGGAATCTAGAACGGAAACAAACCTAGGAAAATGGCAAATTCACTGCGAATCCAGACCCAAAGGCCTTCTTCGTCACACTCTCGAATCGCCACATCGGCGAAGGCATCGTCACAGCGAAAGGATCCCGACCTGCTGCATCTCGTCTGCTGGGTCCTTCCTGCTGTTGCCATATGCTTAACAAAATTAACTTAACAAGAGCAAGGCGGCGCAGAAAAATGTCGTGGCAATGCTGGTAAGTGCAATAGACGATGAACCCGCCTGCCGCTGCAAGAGAGCCTCATACAGTTCAGTCCTGCAGTCAGCAGCATGCATCATTGGCCACTGAAGGTCACGACGTTTCATGTCGAGCTTCTGTACCTTCCTGCATTCTATTCTTGCATACTTGTTTGGCTCTTCGGTGAAAGCAAATGTTGGCAATCTGCAAAAGTGTTGCGAGCCCTATCGGTGGGTGGAAGCGAACTCACGTGAACGGCTTGTCTGCATTTGTAATAGGCTCTACGAGACGGCAATACAGAACGTTGTGACCGGCCTGGCAGTTTTTCGTAACGGCACAAGATGCCTTCGTGCTTTTGCTCCACATGATGTTGGCAACATTGCTGGCCGATAAGTTATCAAATGGGGCTTTCCCAGTGTCATACGCGCCTGTAGCCGGATCGAAGTTTGATCTGCGTAACCGACGCAGATGGCAGATAAGACGTGAAAATGGATGGCCAAAAGGTGATAAGAGGAGTTTTCCATGATTTTCGAGTTGTGACCGCGATACTAGAAAACAAAAGAAAAGTCATGCTCTAAAAAATACACATCAATTCTCCAGAAGACTGCGTGGTGGACACAAGTTTGTAACCTGAATTGAAGCAAGCAAACTACAGAACAAAGAAGGAAAGAGACAGACTCTTGCATATGGCTCAGTCCTGCGGCAAAATGGTCCTGGATCAGGGATCCACAGTCAAAGGTTGTGGAGTATTCGAAAGGAATCACAAGCCCAATATGCTGCAGTAAAACGACAGCGCACGATCAGATACCACTCATGCATTCAGACAAGTAAGACTATTCTCCTGGGTTTCTCATTACTCGCGGACATATCTACTCTACTGAAACTGACATTGAAAATCACACCTTGTTTGCGTTCGCCGTAGCTCCCGATTCACAGGTCTCCGCTTTGGTACCTGCTAGTTCTTTTGCGATGTCAGCTGCTGTTCTTGACTTTGGAAGCTCTTCTCGATCTTCTTCTTCTTCTCCTACACTTGCTCCTCCTGTCTCCGGTTCGAGGGCCTCCAACGCCTGGTCACGAAGGTTAAGCACCCTCAGTATATTCATGGTGGGCAAACAAACTGAAGCGGTCCACAAGTGACACGGGATATCAAGCAAATTGTGGACAAATTCGCAAATCAAATCTTTACATGTTACTTAGGAGATGACCACCAGACCTGTGCTGGTCCGACTGAACCTATACACCAACGGGAAGAACTGCAGAGAAGGCATGGTAAAGTAAAGTCCAAATATACAGGCAAATACACAAGCACCTTGAAAACATCTATTCTCCCGCGCAGGTCACCTGTAGTTGCGTCCTCGGTCTGTATGTCCGTTGAAACAGCTTGAAGGAAAGCGGTTTCTGTATCCATGATGTCATAATGGGGATTAGTGTTGGCAGAGCGAGTGAGGACTGCAGCTGAAAAGTTGCCTATTGCTGCTCCAGCGAGCAGGCCAATGTACCAAGTTAACAGACAGGGCCGATACATGGTGGGTAGCAAATGAAGCAAATGATAAGGAAGTGCGACAAAAGCCAGCAGAATGAGTAGGAGAAATCCGGGAAGAGGGCGAGTTGCCAACGAACGAAATTAGGACCCAGTAGGATGCCGTGTGTTAACGGCGGGGACAGGAGTCCCCCTAGCTTTTATCCGACTGCCAGTGCCGCTTCTTTAATCATAGGCACTGTAACTGCCCCTCTGCTAACCATAAAATTACTTACAAGTACTTTAAGATTTAGCTGCTGAATTAGAACTTCGTGGTGATGCTCTTAAGCTGCCTTCTCGATTGCGAGGATACCAGTCGGAATGCCTCTAGTCACATCGGCCTAGTTAGCTCTGCAAATGAAATGAAATATTCGAGTAAAATGCATAAGACCACAAGTCCAATAGAAAACTCGGGGTAAGAGAAGCAGAGATGAGCCTTATTCTCAGCCAATATGCAGAGATAGGATTTGCAGTTAAAGAAAATTTGTAGCTTGGAGGCCGCACAGGCAGATGAGCCACATTCCCAGCCAGTGTGCAGAAATAGGCTCTGTAGTCGTGCAAAATTTGTAGCATGAGGGTTGCAGTCAACGATGTAATGCTCTTAGAGTGGATCTGTACAGTATAGACACAATGTGACCGTTTCGCACATGTGATGGACCTTTACTGGTTTGCGATTGAGTCGCCGCCTACGACTCACATCACAACGTAACACCTTCCATGGCTAAAAACTTGAAGTTACTCAAAAATATTTGTTTTTCATGATTGGTTTCAAGCGAGGCTGGTGACATATTCTTGCTTGCTTACGAGTTGCCGTAGAGCATTGGCGGTCGGTACAGCAAAACAGTCCAGTCACACATGCTTAACTGGGCCGCCCTTCAAGCAGGTACACCTGCGAGCCCATCTATGTTAGATACAAATTTTGTGTAAGTACAAAGCATGTCGCTGAATAATGGGTGGGAATCTGGGTCATATCTACCCCGCTTACCCTGCTGCTCCCTCAACCGAACGTGGCCTTGCGCATATACTTATTCAGCTTTCCATGTTAAATCTTCGGCAAAACCGTAACACGGCGTCATTTTTGCCGAAGGTGAAATGCAAAGTTCAGCTCGGGTGATGCTGATAATTAGCAAACAGCCCTGAACTTGTTCTGAATGCAAAACCGAAATATATTCGAGAGTTAAACAGGGATGTTGTTCTGTTGCTGCTTTGTCTAGGTGCAGCTTAGAGGAGAGGATCTTTGGAGCGTGTAATCTTCCAGGGCCCATAGTGGCTCCTTCCTAGTGCTTTTGTTGAGAAGTTTTGCAAGAAACTGCGAAATCTTTTCGTGCACGAGGACTTCAATCAGATCACAATAGGAGATTAGAGTGGGGTGTGGTGACGAGCGTTTGCTTAAATCTTTAACTCACGCTGTGCCTACAGAAAGTACTGTTGCTCCTGAGTGCATTTCATTGCGTATTTCAGGTTGCCAATTCATGTAGGCAAAACTCATCTACTTTAACCCACAATCATGTGCTCTATTTGAAGTGTTTCATTGCCAGCCAATTAATTTGATGGCACGGAGAATATATTCATTTAGTTTGATGGCACAGAGAATACAAGCAACGTTCACCTTGCAGAGAGCACTTTAGCTGTTTGGAGTTTGAGGGAACATGTAATATAAACATTGCTTTCCATGTAATATAAACATTGCTTTCCACAGATATCGGACGTTCAAAAAGAAGTTGGGGACAGTGCTTGATAATTCCACAGGATTTAGAGCGGTGGCTAGCATTTGAAGGTGAAAGATACAGTGGAATCATTCAATAACATCTTCTGTGTTGCTTCTGCACCTCCTGTGCCCTTTCAGTCCGATTTTTCCCAAAAGAAAGTGCAACACCTTTGCATGCAGCTGTCTGTTCTATTTCTTCGAGTAGACTGTTACATGAAAACGCAGTGCAGTTTCTTCTATGCGAAAGGATTGTGGCGTCCACAGTCATGCCCCAATTCGTCTTCGGGCTGGTCAATGAAGAGCCGAACGACGGTCAGTGCTGGCCTTCATGCAAGCATAACGGAAAGAGCCGTGAAGGCAATGATAGAGCCACGGGCTACTCAAAAGCACATTCAAATACACCTTGATTACTTAGGTAGTGAGAAGAAGTGAGCACGTTTTGGCGTGTAGGTGAAATCTGTAGAAACTTAGGGCTCCATAGGCTTTGAAGCTACGGAATCTGTCGTTGAGAACCCCCCTTCAGTAAACATGCGAAGGAAGGTTAGTTCCCCTTCAGAGCGAATGAAGGGAAAGTCTGAAATCGTGTTGCAGTAGGTAAAAGTGTCTTCCCATCTAGCTATTCGCGCATGTGTGTGCGGATCTAGGTTTCCATGGCCATTACCCAAGCGGTTCCATTCGGTGATTGTTTCAAAATTATTACCGAAACAACCAGCCCAGGCCCATTTAGGTGCAACCCATCTGCTTTCAAAATGTCTTGAGTCTGATGTTTCGTGAATGTCAGCAATACCCTAATGAAGAGTGAAGAATGCAAGGCACGGGGGCTCCACACAGGTAGCTTGCAAGTTTTGATATCAACTCGACTGCAACATAAAACTTACAGGGAGGAGCAGCCCAACAGAATCATACATTCGGCAATTGTTGCGCAGTCATTCACAGCGTGGGCCGTGACAAGTGCAGGCAGGTCAAACCGTATCAGCGCCTCGTAGCTTTGCTCCGTTACAGTCAATGGTATTTTGAAATAGAAGCTGTTGGTGTCTCAGATAAGGAGACTATTGTTTAGATGATACAACTGGCAGCGCCGGTACCAGCTTACAAAAAGGTTCGCCACGACTACACCAATCTGAGACGCGTCCAAGCAAAATTTGCACTGGACGGATTTTTGGTGGCTTAGAGTATTGGTGAGTCAATACTCGTGAATCGCAGGTGTGCCTAAAGCTGTTGGCCGCAGGGAGATTGCAGAGGGCGAGCGCAGTGCCATTTGGGATTCTGGGCGCATTTCACTTGGAAATCAATCTGTCTTGACGCAAGATAATTAATGATCCCTGCCCCGACGAATGCTAAGCATCATGTTTTGATGCGAACTAATCAAAACATAGTGCTTAGCATTCGTCAGGGGAGGGATCACCAGATCGTTTGAAGACGCCGGCTGCCCGCTGTTGGCAGATTTACATATATTTATATATATGTATACTTCTGCGCGTATTTGCAGAACAGGTAGGTTTGCGGTGCCAGAATTCTGAATTGCCATACGAGGGGTCCAACTTCACGTGTGTGCTGCATGCCCAATCCACTGTCTATAGCCTCATTTGGGCGTTTCCTACAAGCCTGCATGGAAACCCTTCGCTGCGCATTTAGGGGACGAATACAGAAATAAAAATTAATGCGTGTGTTTTCGAAACCACAATTAGCATAATAGGGTTCAGTAAACGAGAGTTGGAGGTTTGGCATGATGTTGATTTTCCTTAGATAATACATGAACAGAGGCACAGAAGAGAAGGAAACCTAGGAAAATGGCAAATTCACTGCGAATCCAGACCCAAAGGCCTTTTTGTTACACTTTTGGACCACCGCGCCGCCGACGGCGTCACCAATTAAGGAATCCCAATCTGCGGTATCTCGCCGCTGCATCCTTCCCGCTGTTGCCATATGCTTGACAAAGTTAAGTCGACAAGAGCCAGGCGGCGCAGAAAAATGTTGTGGCAATGCTGGTAAGTGCAATGGATGATGAACCTGCCTGCCGCTGCAAGAGAGCCTCATACAGTTCAGTCCTGCAGTCAGCAGCATATATCATCGGCCACTGAAGGTCACGACATTTCATGTCGAGCCTTTGTGCCTTCCTGTATTCTGTTCTTGCATGCTTGTCTGGTTCTTTGGTGAAAGCAAATGTTGGCAATCTGCAAAAGCGTAGCAACGCGTATCGGTGGGAGCAAGCGAACTCACGTGAAGGGCTTATCTTGCGATGTGATTGGCTCTACGAGACGGCAATACAGAACGTTGTGACCGGCCTGGCAGTTTTTCGTAACGGCACAAGATGCCTTCGTGCTTTTGCTCCACATGATGTTGGCAACATTGCTGGCCGATAAGTTATCAAATGGGGCTTTCCCAGTGTCATACGCGCCTGTAGCCGGATCGAAGTTTGATCTGCGTAACCGACGCAGATGGCAGATAAGACGTGAAAATGGATGGCCAAAAGGTGATAAGAAGAGTTTTCCATGATTTTCGAGCTGTGGCGGCAATACTAGTCATGCTGCGAACAATACACGTTCATTTTCCCAGACAGTTGCGCAGTGGGCACAGGTGTGCAACTTGACTTCAAACAGGCAAACTACAGCTCAAAATAAACAAAGCGGAGAGAGACAGACTCTTGCATATGGCTCAGTCCTGCGGCAAAGTGGCCCTGTATCAGCGATCCACAGTCAAAGACTGTGGAGTATTCAAATGGAATCACAAGTCCAGTATGCTGCAGCGAAACAACAGCACAAGATCAGATACCCCTTATGTATTCAAACGAAGAAGACTATGCTTTTGGTTTCTAATGAGTCTAGGACATATCTACTCTACTGGAAGAACGCCATACCGTTTTTGCGTCCGCTGTCGCACCCTTCTCACAGGTCTCCGCTTTGGTCCCTGCTAACTCTTTTGCGATCTCAGCTGTTGTCTTTGATTTTGTATGCTCACCTTGCTCTTCTCTTTCTTCGTCCTCACTCGCTCCTCCTGTCTCTGGTTGGAGGGCATCTAACGCCTGGTCACGAAGGTTAAGCACCCTCAGCATATTCATGGTGGGCAGACAAGCTGAAGCGGTCCAGAAATGACACGCAAGATCAAGCAAATAAAGCTTCACGAATCAGACCTTCACAGGTTATTTAAGAGATGGTCGCGAGAGGCGTGCTGGCCCAAATAAAATTTTACATGAGCGGGAAAAGCTGCGCAGAAGGTGTTGTAAAGTCCAAATATACGGGCAAGTATGCAAGCACCATGAAAAGGTCAGCATGCCGAAAAGTATTCAAATATAGATACAGCTGACAGATGCTTAGTGTCGTTCTCCCTTCCATTCTCCCGTGCAGGTCACCTGTAGTTGCGTCCTCAGCCACTATAGGTGTTGTAGCATTTTGGACGAAAGCAGTTTCTGCATCCACGATGTCATAATGGGGATTAGTGTTGGCAGAGCGAGTGATGATTGCACCTGAGAAGCTGGCTGTGGCCGCTCCAGCGAGCAGGCCAATGTAGCAAGCCAAGAGACCGGGCCGAAGCATGGTGGGTGGAAAATGAAACAAATGAGAAAGAACTGCTATAAAAGTCAACAGAATAGTAGAAACCATGCGGGCAGCAAGCGATTTGCCAGCGAGCGAAATTAGGAGCCAGTGGGATGAGCCGTGTGTAACACAGCAGGGACAGCAGTCCCCCCGTTTTTAACCGATTGCCAGTTCCGCTCCTCGAAGCATAAGCACTGTTACTACCCTTCCGGCTGCTATTAAACTACTTACATGGGCTCTCAGGCTTAGCTACTGAATTCTAACTTCACTTTGATGCCCTTTACCTGACTTCTAGTTTGCGTGGAAACAAGTTGGCACGCCTGCAGCCACACCGATGCAACACTGACCTAGTTAGGTCTCAAGTTGGAATGAAATGGCTGACTAAACTGCATCAGGCCACGTCCGATAGAAGACGCAGAGTACGGGAAACGGAGATGAGCCACATTCTCAACCAATATACAGACGTAGGCTCTGTAATTATACGAAACTTGCAACTTGAGCACATTGGGTAAGGGAAGCAGAGATGAGCCACATTCCCACCCAATATATGCAAAAATAGGTTTTGAAATACCGCAGATTGTAGTTCGAGAGCCGTCGCCAACCAGATGCTGCTCTTAGAGTGGATCTGCACACTAAAGGCACAATGTAAGCATTCGAACGGACAATAACAGGTTTCGGTTTCAGTCGCCGCCTACAACTCACATCACGACTTAATGCCTTCCGTAGCTAAAATCTTGAATTCCTTCAAAATTGTTAGTTTTTCATGATCAATTACAACCAAGGCTGGAGACATCTTCCTGCCTCCTCTAAAGTTGCCGTAGAGCACTAGCACTCGATACAGCAAAACAGTTCATTCACACAAGCTTCGTGTGCACAGTCCTTCGGGAAGGTACGCTGGCAAGGCCATCTATGATAGCTACAAATTTCGTAGAATTACAAAACCTATCGCTGCATGTTGGCCGGAGTCTGGCTCATCTCCCGTTACCCTGCTCCCTCAACCGAACGTGACCTTGTGTATATACTTATTCCGTCCTGTTAAATCTTCGGCAAAACCCTAACATGGCGTCATTTTTGCCGAAGATTAAATGCAAAGTGCAGCTCGGGTGATGCTGATAATTAGCAAACAGCCCTGAACTTGATCTGAATGCAAAACCGAAATATACTCGAGAGTTGAACAGGGATGTTGATCTGCTGCTGCTTTGTCTAGGTGCAGCCTAGAAGAGAGAATTTTTGGAGCGTGTTATCTTCCAGGGCCCATAGTGGCTCCTTCCTAGTGCTTTTGTTGAGAAGTTTTGCAAGAAACTGCGAAATCTTTTCGCGCACGAGGACTTCAATCAGATCGCAATAGGAGATTAAACTGGGGTACGGTGACGAGCGTTTGCTTAAATCTTTAACTCACCCTGTGACCACAGAAAGCACTGTTGCTCCTGAGTGCATTTCAGTGCGTATTTCAGGTTGCCAATTCATGTAGGCAACACTCATCTACTCTAGCGTCATCACGTGCTCTATCTGAAGTGTTGCACTGCCAGCAAATTAATTTGACGGCACGGAGAATGCAGGCAATGCTCACCTTGCAGAGAGAACTTTAGTTAGCTGTTTGGAGTTTGATGGAAAATGCTATCTGCGCAGCGGTTTCCATAGATATCGGGCGAAAAGTATTCGGGAACAGTGCGTGATGCTGCTACAGGACATAGAGCGATGGCCAGCATTTGAAGACAAAATATACAGTGGAATTATTCAATAAATACTTCTGTGTTGCCTCTGCACCTCCTGTGCCCTTTCAGTCCGTTTTTCCCCATAGGAAAATACACTACATTTGCATGCAACTATCTGTTCTATTTCTTCGAGTAAACTGTCACATGAATACACAGTGCAGTTTCTTCTGTGCGAAAGGATTGTGGCCTCCACAGTCGTGCCCCAATTCGTCTTCGGGCTGGTCAATGAAGAGCCGAACGACGGTCAGTGCTGGCCTTCACTTAAGCATAACGGAAAGAGCCGTGAAGGCAATGATAGAGCCACGGGCTACTCAAAAGCTCATTCAAATACACTTTAATTACGTAGGTAGTGAGAAGAAGTGAGCACGCTTGGGCGTGTAAGTGGAAACTGTAGAAGCTCTCATAGCCTTTGGCTTAAAAGCTGTGGGATTTGTTGCTGAGGACACCCCTACAGTAAACATGCGAAGGAAGGTTAGTTTCCTTTTAAACGAAATGAAGGGAAAGACTGAAATCGTCTTGGAATAGGAAGAAATGTGTCCTTTTACCTAGCTTTTAGCGCAGGTGCGGATCTAGCTTTCCATGGCCATTACTCAACTACTGCCATCCGGTGAGTGTTTTAAAAAGTAGTGCGAGAACTACGAATTGAAACTCGTCTAGTTGCAATCCATCTGCTTCCAAATTGTCTTAAGGCTGATGTTTCGTGACTGTCAGCGATGCCGTAATGAAGAGTCCGAAATGCAAGGCATGGGAACATCAGGCAGGTAGACTGCAAGGTCTGACGTAAACGGGGCTGCAACGTATAACGGTCAGGGAGGAACCGCGCAACAAGCGCCCAAATCCGGAATTTGTTAAGAAGTAAGGGCAAGGCCACGCATGACAAGTGCGTGCAAATTCTTTGGAAGCATTTCGCTGCCTCTTAGCTTTGCCCCTTTGCAGTTAAAGATATTTTAAGAAGCAAAAACTTCTGGTGCCTCAGATAGGGACGCTGATGCTCAGATGGTATAGCTGGCAGCGGCGATACTAGAATACGAAAAGGCTCGCTACGAATATACCAATGTGAGACACGTCCACGCGAAATTTGCACTACACGAATTTTAGGTGGCTTAGAAAATTGGCGAGTCAATATTTGTGAGTTGCAGGTATGCCTGTGCAGTGGAATTGAAGACCGCGAGCACAGTGACATTTGGGATTCTCCCATTTTTGTGCAAGTCATTTACGAATCAATCAGCCTTGATCAGTTTGCTTCAAAGCATTGTGCTTAACATTTGTCGGGGCAGGGATCATCAGGGCCTTTGAAGACGCCCACTACTCACGGTTTGCAGACCTGTGCTGATATATACACGAGTATATATATATATACATTTATGTGTGTATTCGCAAACAGCTAGGTGCATGATTTCACAGTTATAAACTGTCGTGGAAGGGGCCCAGCTGTAGATGTACGCGGTACGCTCAATTCACTGTTTATCGCTTCATTTGGGCGTTTCCTACAAGCCTGCGTGGAAAATGTCTGTTGCGCATTTAGGGCGCGAATACCGAAATAGAAATTGATGTGCAGGTTTTCGAAGCAAAAATTAGCATAGTAGGGTTCAGTAAACGTGAGTCAGAGGATTGGAATGATGTTGGTTCTTCTTAGGTAGCACATGAAAAGGCAGAATTTAGAAGAGAGGAACACTTGAGAAAAGGGCAAATTTCGCTGCGAATTCACACACTTTTGAACCGCCGCGCCGGTGAAGAGGATGTCAGTGAAAGGATCTCGCTCTGCGGTATCTTGTCTACTGGGTTCTTCCAGCTGTTGCTAGGTGTCCTGGTTTTAAAAAAACTCTATTTTAACACGCTTGACAAACTTAACTCAACAAGAGCCAGGCGGTGCAGAAAAGTGTTGTGGCAACGCTGGTAAGTGCAATGGACGATGAACCGACCTGCCGCTGTAGAAGGGCCTCATACAGTTCAGTCCTGCAGTCAACAGCATTCATCATCGGCCAATAAAGGTTACGAAGTGCCAAGTTGTGCCTCCTGTCCCTCCTCAACTGTGCTCCTGGATTATTGTCGAGTTCCTCGGCCAGAAACAAAATTTACAGAAGACATGGCGGATTCTATCGGCTGGTGGAAGCTAACTCACGTGAAAGGCTTGTCTTGCGGTGTAATTGGCTCTACAAAACGACAAAAGAGGACGATGTGACCGGCCCGGCAATTGTTTGTGACAGCACAAGACGCCGTTTTGCTTTGGCTTCACATGATGTTTGCAACATTGCTCGCCGATAAATTATTAAAAGGGGCCTTCTGAATGTCATATTTGCCAGTCGCCGGGCCAAAGTTTGATCTGAGGTAAGCAAAACATATTTTGTGATGGGACTAATGGGTCAAAAGGATGACAAGAAAATGAGACTGGCCTACTTTCCCGTGAATGTCGAATTATGAATGCGATACCATATAATAAAAGAAACGTTATGCTGCAAACAATACGAGCTAATTCTGTAGACTATTGCACAATGGACAATAATTTGCAACCTGAATTCAAACACTCAAATTAAAGAACAAAGAAAGGAAAGTGGAAAGCGACAGACTCTTGTATATGGCTCAGTCCTGCGGCAAAGTGGCCCTGGATCAGCGCTCCACAGTCAAAGGCTGTGGAGTATTCAAATGGAATCACAAGCCCAGTATGCTGCAGTGAAACACCAGCACAAGATCAGATACCACTCATGCATACAGACGAATAGGTTTATGCTCTTGGTTTTTAACCAGTTTCGGACATATCTAGCCTACTGAAACTGACTGTACCTCTTGGGCATTCGCCGTTGCTCCTGCGTCACAGGTATCTGCATCGGTCCCTGCAAGCGCCTTCGCGATTTCAAGCGCAGTCTTTGATTTTGTCTCAGCTTCTCCGTCTTCTTCTTCGCCTACTCCTTCTGGCTCTGGTTCGAGGGCCTCTAGCGCCTGGTCACGAAGGTTAAGCACCCTCAGCATGTTCATGGTGGGCAGGCAGGCTGAAGCGGTCCACAAATGACACACGAAATCAAGCAGGGAACAAATTTGCAAATAAGACCTTTACACGTTTGTTAAGAGGTGAACACCAGACCAGGCACCAGACCTGTGCTGGCCCAAGTGTAGTTATACAGCAGCGGGAAAAGCTGCGGAGAAGGTATGGTGAATACACAGACGAATATGCACGCACCATGAAAAGAGCAGCACGCACAAAAATACATAGATGAAGACACAGCTGACGAATGTTTACTATCGTTCTCCCTCTCATTCTCCCGTGCAGGTCACCTGTAGTTGCGTCCGTGGCCTCTATAGTCGTTGAAGCTGCTTGAAGGAAAGCGGCTTCTGTTTCCACGATGCCATAATGGGGACTAGTGCTGGCAGAGCGAGTGATGACTGCAGCTGAGAAGTTGGCTGTGGCTGCTCCAGCAAGCAGGCTAATGTAGGAAGTTAACAAACCGGGCCGATACATGGTGGGTAGTGGGGCAAATGAGAAAGAACTACTGAAAACGTCAGTGCAACGAGTAGGAACAATGCAGAAATCAAGAGATTTGCCAGCGAACGAAATCGCGACCCAGTGGGATGGGCGGTGTGTAACACAGCGGGGACACCAGTCCCCCTGCTCTTAGCCGATTGCCAGTTCCGCTCCTCGAAGCATAAGCACTGTGACTGTCCTTCCGGAAAGTAAAAAACTACTTACATGGACTCTCAGATGTAGCTGCGGAATTATTACTTGACTTTGATGCCCTTAAGCTGCCTCCTCGATTGCGAGGGTTCCAGTCGACACGCGTGTAGTCACACCGTCATAACACCGACCTAGTTAGTTCTCAAGTTGGAATGAAATAGCTGGGTAAACTGCATCACGCCACGTCAGACAAAAAATCAGGGCGAGGGAAGAGAAGATGAGCCACATTCCCGACCACTATGTAGAGTTGGGCTCTGTAATGTCACAAGGTTTATAGCCTGAGGGTGCACTGCAACGGAGGCAGAGGTGAACTACATTTCCACCCAATATGCAAAAATAGGTTTTGAAATGCTGCAAATTGTAGCTTGAGAACCTTCGCCAACCAGATAATGCCCTTGCAGTTCAACTGTATAATAAAGACACAATGTGAGCGTTCGAATACGTGATGGACCATTAGTGGTTTCGGTTTCAGTAGCAGCCTACGATGCGCATCACAACTAAACACTTTCCGTGGCTAAAACTATGGAGTTCTTCAAAACAATAAGTTTTCAATGGTCAACGATAGACGAGGCTGGGGATATTTTCCTACCTCCCTACAGTTACTGTGGAGCATAGGCGGTCGATACAGCGAAAGAGTTCATTCACACATGCTTTATCTGCACCGTCCTTCGCAAAGGTAAACTATCAAACCCATCTATGCTAGATACAAACTTTGTAGAATTACAAAACCTATCGTGCATATTGGGCCGGGATGTGGCTCATATCTTCCCCGCTTACCCTGATCCCTCAATCGGACGTGGCATTGTGCATATACTCACTCCATTTTGCTAAATCTCCGGCAAAACCCTAACACGGAGTTATTTTAGCCAAAGGTGAAACGTGAAGTACAGCGCAGGTGACGCTGATAGCTAGCAAACAGTCCTGAACTTGATCTAAATTGGAAGCCACAGTAGATTAAAGGGTTAAACAGGGAAATTGCTCTGCTGCTGCTTTGTCTAGGTGCAGCTTAAAGGAGAGGATCTTTGGAACAGTCTTTCTTCCAGGGCCTATAGTGGCTCCTTCCGAGTGCTTTTACTGGGAAATTTAACGACAAACCGCAACACTTTTTCTGCAGCCAGATCGCAGTGGGAGATTAATGTGCCATGCAGTGACGAGCCTTTGCCTAGATTTTAAACTCGCTCTGTGCGCACAGAAGCTACTATTTCTCCTAACTGCATTTCACTGCGTATTTCGGGATGCCAATTCATGTAAGCAAAGCGCAGCTGCTTTAGCCCGTGATCAGCTGCTCTATCTGAATGCATTGCCGGCCATTTAAGCAATGCTCACCTTGCAGAGAACAATTTAGGTAGCTGTTTGGAGTTTGATGGAAAATGCCATCTGCGCAGGGGTTTCCAAAGCTGTTGGGCCTTCAAAAAGTATATGGGAACAGTGCTTGGGTCTGCCCCACGAGATAGAGCGATTGACAGCATTTGAAGATGAAAGATACAGTAGAATCATTCAATCACAACTTCTGTGTTGCCTCTGCACCTCCTGTGCCCTTTCAGTCCGAGTTTCCCCATAGGAAAGTGCACTACATTTGCATGCAACTGTGTATACTAGTTCTTCGCGTAGACTGTCATGTGAATGCGCAGTCCAGTTTCTTCTGTGCGAAAGGATTGCGGCGTCCACAGTCGTGACCCATTTTGCCTTCGGGCTGGTTAATGAAGAGCCGAACGACGGTCAGCGCTGGCCTTCATGCAAGCATAACGGAAAGAGCCGTGAAGGCAATGATAGAGCCACAGGCTAGTCAAAAGCACATTCAAATACACCTTGATTACTTAGGTAGTGAGAAGATGTGAGCACGTTTGGGCATGTAGGTGAAAGCTGTAGAAACGTGGACCTCCATAGCCTTTGGCTTTAAAGCTACGGGATCTGTCTTTGAGGACCCCCGTCCAGTAAGCATGCGCAGGAAGGTTAGTTCCCTTTTAAAGGGAACGAAGGGAAAAGCTGAAATCTTGTTGCACAGTGTTGTTTCATCTAGTTTTTCGCGCAAGTGCGGATCTAGCTTTCCATGGCCATTACTCGCCATTGCCATCCGGCAAGTGTTTCAAAAGTAGTGCGAGAGCTACGAGCTAAGACGCGTCTAGCTGCAACCCATCTGCCTTCAGATTGCCTTGAGGCTGATGTCTCGTGACTGTCAGCAGTATTGTAATGAAGATTGCGGAATGCAAGGCATGGGGTGTCCCAGACAGGTAGCCTGCAAGGACTGATATCAAGGGGACTGTAACACATAACTTACAGGGAGGAGCAGCGCAACAGATGAATACAGTCAGCAACTGTTGCGCAGCAAGGACACATCATGGGCCATGACAAGTGCATGCACGTCCTTTGAAACGGTGAGTCAATACTTGTGCCCTGTAGGTATGCCTAAAAGTTTTGGGTCCAGAGGCAACGTGGACGGCGAGCGCAATGCCATTTAGAATTCTTCCACTTTTGCGCATTTCATTTGGGAATGAATCTGCCTTGATTAGTTTGCTTCAAAAAATAGTGCTTAGCATTTTTCGGCGCAGGGATCACCAGGAACTTAGAAGACGCCTGCTGCTCACAGTTTGAAGAACTTTGCTGATGAATATATACGCTTCTATATATTTATGTGTGCTTTTGCCCCTATGTGCAAAAAAGACAAGGTTCAGGCTGTCAGAGCTCTAAATCGCTGTAGTAGGGATCCAACCTTGCGTGCTGCGGGCCGAACTCACACTGTTCATAGCTTCATTCGGACGTCTTGTACACGGTTGCATGGGAAATCATCGTTGCATATTTAGGACATAACAACAGGAAAAACAATGATATACGCATTTTCGAAGCTTAAATTGGCACTGTAGCGTTCAGTATGCGAGAGTTGGAGGCTGATACACGAGCAAATCAATACTCGGCATAGTCCCCTTAGACAAGCGATGAACATAAACAGAATTGAAAATAAAAGCACCGCTAGGAAAACGCTAAATTTCGCTGCGAATTTAGACTCAAGGCCTCATCGATGAAAAAATCCCGTCCTGCGGTATCTCGTCTGCTGCGTTGTTCCAGCTGTTGCCATATGCTCGCCAAAGCTAACTCAACAAGAACAAGGCGGCGCAGAAAAATGTTGTGGCAATGCTGGTAAATGCAATGGATGAAGAACCGGCCTGCCGCTGTAAGAGAGCCTCGTAGAGTTCAGTCCTGCAGCCAGCAGCAGCATCGCCTGTCGCTGAAGATTTTGTGTGATATACCATATCGAGCCTCTCTGCCCTCCTGCAACCTGTTCTTGCATACGTGTATGGCTCTTTGGTCAAAGCAAATGTCTCCAAAAGCAGAGCAACGTGTATTAGCGGGTGGCGGCAAACTCACGTGAACGGTGTGTCTGCATTTGTAATTGGATCTACGAATCGACAATACAGAACGTTGTGACCGCCCCGGCAGTTTTTCGTGACGGCACAAGACGCTGTCTTGCTTTTGCTCCACATGATGTTGGCAATGTTGCTGGCCGATAAATTATCGAATGGGGCGATCCCAGTGTCATATTTACCAGTCGCCGGGTCAAAGTTTGATCTGAATAAGCAACGCATATTTGGCGAAGGTACTAACGGGTAAAAAGGAGCAGCCAGACAGCGTGACGTGTACCCCGTGATTTTCGAGTTATGAATGCGACACAGGTAAAAAAGGTAGCAGGAAGCATCATTTTGCAAACAACGCTCGTTCATCCTGTATTCGATTTAGCAATGGACACAAACTTGTAACCTGAATTCATACAAGCAAATTATAGGTCAAAGGAAGAAAATTGGAGGAAAACAGACTCTTGTATATGACTCAGTCCTGCGGCAAAGTGGCCCTGGATCAGCGCTCCACAGTCAAAGGCTGTGGAGTATTCGAATGGAATCACTAGCCCAGTGTGCTGCAGTAAAACGGCATCACAGCGTCAGACGCCACTCATGCATACAGACTGACGAAACTGTGCTTCCAAAATTTTTTTGCGCCTCGGACATGTGTAGCCTACTGAAGCTGACAGATAAAGCCATACCGCTTTTGCATTTGCCGTTGCTCCCGTCTCACAGGTCGCCGCATCGGTCCCTGCTAGCTCTTTTGCGATTTCAAGTGCTGTCTTTGACTTTGAAACACCTTCTTCCGCATCTCCAGTTGTTTCATCTGTATCTGGTTCCAGGGCTTCTAACGACTGGTCACGAAGGTTTAGCACCCTCAGCATGTTCATGGTCGGCAGACAGACTGAAGCGCTCCAAAAACGGCACCCGAAATGTAGCAGGCTGTGAAGAAGTTTACAGATTTCATTCTTCGCATGACATCCTTTGCTTGCTATACTGGAGCTGAACAACAGTCTTGTGCTGGAGCAAATAAAGTTATATACGGGGACGTAGACCTTGGGAGAAAGTGCAGCAGAGGACACTTCAAACAAACAAGCACCGTGAAAATACCAATGTACAAGAGTGAAACAGCCGACGCTGGCTTAGCATCATTTTCTCATTTTTCTGCGCTTGCAGGTCACCTGTAGTTGCATCCACGGCCTCGATAGCAACTGGAACAGCTTGAATAAACGCAAGTGTGTCCACGCTGTCGTTATGGGGATTAGCAGGGGCAGAGTGGTTCCTGATGGCCACTGAGAAATTGGATGTGGCTGCTCCTATGAGTAAGCCAGTGTAACAAGTCAACAGACCGGGTCGATACATGGTAGCTATAGAGAGAATCTTGAGAAGTAATGACCGAAAATAATATAGAAGCAAAACGACTGGGTCCAATGAACCCGTAGCCAGCGGAGGAAACTAGGACCCGCTGCGATGGACTGTGCATAAAAGCAACGGGGACAGTCCCCTCTTCCCAACCAGTTCCCGATTCTGGCGATTCTTCATGCATAGGCGTGAGACTGCACTATAACCTTCCTTTCCTTAAACATACTACTCACTTATGTTTTATGTTATACCCGCGAAATTTCATTTTTATCATGATACGCTTAAGCTGCCTTGTCATCCAAGAGGAGACCAGTCCGCATGTGACATTGTGCCAACACCGATCCAAATATAGTGCTTGCATCAGAATGAAATGGCTACATGCAATAAATGAATAAACTCACATAACGTGAAATCATTGCCTTTAAAAGCCGGAATTGCGTATATTAGCGCCTGGTTCAGGTCGGCGAGGAGGAGGAACCGATAACGGGTCCCACGATCGTCATTTTTACAGAAGTTAGCCACTAGATCTTCCTTAAATGCCTAGTGAAAGGCTGTGAAATATTTTTGGTGTTTTCTAGGGAGCAAAAAACTAGAAATTTTGGGGGAGGGCGCTTCGACAAGGGCCTGCCAATTGCTTTAATTTCACGCCTTGCCAACCAATTTTGACAACAAACAAATAATAAGCTCTTCCTGAAGCTTGAATAATTTGTGCGGCTTGTTATATCGGTATGTTACTATCCAAGCCTCTGCGCCAAACATCTTGCGAGCAACCGACTATCAAAGAATGCGACCCTAGCGTTCTTTAGGCGAATAATGCAGGTGTCTTGCAGATCGGTCTGCGTTGAACTGGTTCAGTGCATATACCACAATTTTTCAGTCCGAAACCCAAGATACTCAAGGATGGTGCCTCTCTTCAGAGCACCGATTTCAGCTGGCAGCGACCGCTTGGAAGCGCACATATTTTTCATGTTCATTGTTTTCTTCGAATGCCCACATTGTCCAAATTTAGTCTATCTAGCGTGAGAAACCCCATATCTGAGAACGTCATTACAGGAATGAAAATCCATGCCAAATGTGTGTTTCAGCACCAAGTATGAGCCATCAGGCATTACCCGATATTGTCTAAAAAAAATGAACAGCTTTCAAAAAGTACACTGTTCAAGACCATATTTTGTCTTGTTTCTGAGAAAGCACCCACGCTCTTAGACTTCTCGATCAGCACTTGTGCCTTCTTAATTTGTACAGGAAAGCAGTGTTGTGACCAACGTACCTTTTGGGAGGATTAAATCCCGTTTATATTCTTCAATCATCAGCTCCTGAAATTCGAATCTACTTCAAAATTGTTTCTTTCCTTATCGTAATCTGGCTCGTGGCACCAACAAACATGTTTTAAAGCATTTTAATGTTCTGAATTGTAAAAGTATTGTTGTCATGGGACCTTTAGGCGGAAGATCGTGATTTAACTGAACGATCTCTTGTTGTAGGAGTGGCACACGTTAAGCTCTTACGCATTCTTATGGGCTCGCTGCTCATCTCTCGAAGTGCCTCTGCTCCTGGAGACATGCCCATTGTGACTTTTTTGTTGCGGATATGCTGTTCTACTGCTTCTTTTGAAATACTGGTTCTCCGCGGTCGCACTTCATGGCATGAATAAGTTTACACATGCACCAGCATCTTATCACGTTGCTGACTTACCCAGTCTTCTTATTTTCACGATTTATAACGTTGCTTTACTTCTTACCCGCATCCTTCCATCCACTAATGTGCTAATAGCCTTGATGCTGTTATGTAGGTTCCACTTGCTCGTTTTACCTTCCTCTGTGCTGCTTTTTTTGCTTTTGAAGAAGTAACTTCTGCATAGACAATTAGGCGGCTACCACTGTCACTAGCTGGGAAACTAGAACTGAGGTACAGGCCTCCAGAGCAACGATGTCCTTTCAATCTTTGGTCTTCAATACAGAGCTCATTAGGCCTATGTATTCATCGAAAAAAATTGGTGTTAAAGCAACAGAGAGCCCGAGAATAGCAAAACCCGCATGCTTGCGTAATGTAGTTTTTGATGTGCCACCTGGCGCGCCCTGCACGTCCTTACTGCATGAGGTGTCTGCGTCACTTTTGGATTCACTGGATACACCGCCAGCATGGCTACCCAAAGCACGCATTGGCTGAATGCGTGTTTTTGGTTATAGTCGTGCCGGTGGTTTCCATGCTCACATGAGCTTAATTCAGTAAGTTCATGTGAGCCTGGAAATGTATGGAGCTACCACAGCAGCTACAGGCGCCCATCGCACTTTGATAATCTTATGTGGCTCGATAGTGCAACCAAATAGCGTCTTTTCACGTGAGTTTTGCTTTGCCGCTGTCATGCCTACGCATCAACGAGCCGACAGTAGTAGAAACAACGGAAGTTTTCACTTTGTGGAAAGGCTGCGGTGCAGTTTTTGAAGTCATTTGCCGTGTCACTTCACATTGAGCCCACGACTGAAGAAAACTAAAATTTTAAACGCAACGCTTATGTTTCTAACGTTTTCAAGTGTGAAGGCAGATAACAAACGCGCTAGAAGCTTTGGGCAGGCTAGTAAAGTTAAAATTAAGCCGAATGGGAATTCGAAAGGCTAAAGTTTGATGCTGCAAAGACGCATAGAATGGCAAAACTTGTGTTACGCTGCCTATTTTGCTCATGAAACTCAAGCGCCCTCCTCATGGTTCGTGCTTCCGCGTTCATATGCACTCCTTCTTGCTTTCAAGGCGGAGCAACGTGCGCTTCATTTTGCACTTAGAGAGTGTTTCTATAGGCTGAATAGAAGAGTGAAGATAAGGAAACGATAGCAAGAAGATGACTTGTGGGCGACAGGAAACACTGATGAAAGGTTCCCTAAAGATCGAAGATTCCCTCAGCGCCAGTAGACTGGTCGACGTAGATTGCAAAATTTTCCATGGGTCTGAGCATGGTCAAAAAGAATGGGAGCTCGCCTTTGCTCTGCTGTTTTAGGGTTTAAAAAAGCGCTGCACATTGTGCGCATACACTAACTGGACAAGTAATGCGCAAGTGCCTGCAGCACTTTGGTCAGGATTTGGTGGTTCCAGGAAACGAGCTATGCAAATGCCAACTTACTAGGCCACAAGATGCAAAAATTATTAACGTTCCCTGAACACGCCATTACAGATATACTGGTACAGGTAACCACACAGCATCTGCTACAGACAAAATAGGTAATATGTCGAAAACTGTGGTGGGTGTGACAAAGATGACCGACTGGTTGCCTCTTCCTTCGCACCTCTCAAGAAAGCTTGGGGAGTTACTTTAATAAAAAGGACGTTCCAAAAAATACGCATGCAAGCGCTTCAGTGATGGAACCCTGGGACCTATGGATTTCAAGGACAAATTGCAACCCTGGGATCTAACGAATAAGGTTTAAGCTTTGCAATACAGATTCTTCAAATAAAATTACATACCCTACTGTGCCTAGAGCTACAAGACTTTCACAGCCAAAAAAAAGACCCATTCGTCTTGTTCCAGCTTTGGTCACTTCTGAGTCAATTCGCCCGACATGAACGGAAGAAATGAGGACGAGACTTTCACAGCCAAAAAAAAGACCCATTCGTCTTGTTCCAGCTTTGGTCACTTCTGAGTCAATTCGCCCAACATGAACGGAAGAAATGAGGACGCAATATGCAACGTAGATACGCAGAGTGACGCTCTTCAGGTCCATCCTTCTAAGAAAAGAGGAAGAGAACTTGCCCATGATGAAGAACAGCAAGTATTTCTGCACAATGTAATCTGGAAGCACATGAAGCTCCCGGCTGTTTGCAAAGCCAACGTTTGATATACTTTGAAAACTGACAATCTTCCCTGAAGGCATCGAATTCTCACTGCGTCAGAGAACAGCACAGACCCTTTAATCAACTTGTTCATTGCACTTTAGTTTCTAGCCGAATCAGTCTTTTCGGTATAATGTATTTTCCTTCTGGTAGTAACTGTTCTTCACATTTGAGCAGGAGGCAAGATGGTCTTGTCAGTAATGTTTTCCTGCTTACTACGTGGCAGATCTACAGACCTGCAGCATAACAGGTTCTGGTGGGCAGCAGCGAAGAGACAAGCCAGCATTTCTGATATCGCGTTTGCATACCTTGCATTGCGTGAACAAGGTTCAAAGGACTAAAACACAGTCTGTATCTAGTCGATTCGCATATTTGTGAGGAGCCGTTTGCTATTTCACCCTCGCAGAACGTGCATTCGAAAAAGGTTGACAAATGGAACAAAAAAGTTTGGAGCTTAACAATAAAACATACTTGACCCAGATGACACTGTTTGAAGAACAAACCACTGCAGCCGTAAAGATCCAGTTCGCGAAATAGTACATACTTGCCCACATTAGGAGACACTTTGGACGCCATGAAAATTAGGACGACGCACGGTGCAGCACAAGGTTACACTGCAAGCGATGCGTTGGAGAACAGTGCGGGTCGGTAGCAAAATTAGAGAACCACACCGAAATGCTTTGTCGAGATACCCTGCCGGAGCTTATTCCAACCAATCACCTAAAGTGACTCGCAGAGCCGTTCAGCAGCAAGCAACCAAACCTTGCGACTGTGGACAACTGCGATGTGTGTCAACTTTTATGGGCACTGCAGGACTTCTGGCTGTTGCTCTGCCGATTCGCCGCTCTCCCTTCTTCAATTCAGTTGAAAAAGTTAGATGCACGAGCATCATCTGTTGCTGCGGCGCAGCTGGCTTCTCTAAAGTCCACTCAGTAGAAGCAGTGCACTGGAAAAAATTATGGTGATAAAGCCAGGGTCTGCTGTCCACGCTGTGCCTTCCTGCCGTTTCAGGAGAGCTTTATATAACTCAACCCTGCAGACAGCAGCAGACAGAGCACCTACGTGAAAGTGCCAAACATACCACGTTCAACTTTCAGCTGCACAGTCAAAAGTCCGACTTTGGTTTTACTGGCTTCGCGTTTAGTTGAAAAACAATCTATCTAATATTTAAAACTGAG